TATCGGTAAATCGTATTTGCCTAGTATGGCCCACAAGATGACTACATTCCCACTAACTTTATGTTTCACTATATAAAATGCTCATGCAAGCTCTCACAATGCTTTTAAAGGCCACATAAACCCAACAATAACCCCATCTTATAAATAAAATTTGAGATACCTCTTTTAATCTCTACTTAAAGTTCACGATATGAGAGCGATATGAGGGTTCATGGGAGGTTGAAAGAGAGAGAGGGACTAACAGGTTCACAAGTGAGGAAGAGAGAGAATGAACATGGGAGGTTTAACAGGGTTTCGAAAAAGAAAGGGTCATTAAAAAAATTTTAAAAAATAATATTGTAATCTAGACAATAAAAAAGGCACAAAAGCTTTTCTTTTCACTTGAAGGGTGTCCATAGGCTCTTCAAAGACCAGGGGTTAGTTTAGATATACTTTTAGATAGGGGATATACATCTTTTTCCCGTAAAATCTTTAACTTCTTGTGTAATACTTGTCAAAACTTTGTATGGATCAAAGAAATAAAGAAGCAAAATACCTTATCTTTTCTCACTAGAAATTGGCTCAAAACAAGTGGACTAACATCCTCCTAAATGTTGTTGTGGACCAATGGTGGTGAGAAAACAGCAAGGGTGCATCACATTTAACAGTTATTATGCATTACCATCACACAAACAAGCAATGAAACAATGTGCATCATCATACAATCAAAACCTCAATCATGAAAAACAACTATTAAAGACACAAGATTTGCGTGGTTCGACCACAAATCGTTACCTACATCCACAAGAGGATGATGTGAAACTTTACTTATTAATTTAAAAAATCTACAAGATGAATACAATGCCCAATACTTCAATTTACAGCAGCCTTCTTTCTGTTAATACAGAACCCAAAGCACACATAAAATGGGTTGATCCTTGACTCTCACTCACCAAAACAAAGCCTACAATAGGGCTTTAAAGACCCAGCAAAAGTAATAGAAACAAAATTCAAACAAGATAGGAAAGTTGTATCAGGAGAATGAAACAAGATAAGAAAGTGTCTATTACCTAGATAGGAAAAGATAGGAAAGTGTATATTGCCTAGATAGTAAATTGTATATTATACCATTGTATCACCATTACATACACAATGAAAAGAACCACCACAAATTAGTGTGGGGCATAATTGTTTCTAATCTTTTCCTATCTAGGCAATAGACACTTTCCTATCTGGTTTCATTGTCCTCTCAAAAGGAAAGAACAATACAACTTTCCTATCTTGTTTGAATTTTGTTTTTTTTTTTCTCTACAAAGTAAGGCAAAACAGGGCACAACAAAACCCTATGAAAGCTTTCCCACTTTCTTCTTCTTTCACACTATTTCTCACTCTAAAACAATGTAAACTTATGAGAGAAAAGTCAAAAGAGAATATAAGACTAACACTTTTTCTCATGAATTTATCTCCTTTACTTTTATCGTTATTCATGAATTACCTCCTTTTTACTTGAAATGTGAGTGAACTACCTCCTTTCACCCATATTATCTCCTTTCACATATAGCATGAGTGAATTGCCTGCTTTCATGTCTCTAAACTGAGTAATAACATAGAACATAACAAAGTATAAATAAAAATATGAGTGCTTTGGATTCGCACAAATAATACTTAATTTCAACTTAGCAGAAGTCAGAGTGATGACTCTCGACAAATATATTAATACCACTCAGCTCTACTTGGTAAATAACAAAGATGAAGTTGAGTCAGAGCCCAATATGGTATATGGAATCTCCATGGAAGAACTCTTCATCTACTCTCTCCTCACCTTTTTCAAACCCAAGAGTTCTCTCATTTTCTTCAAACCCAATCAACTTCTCTTCTCTTATTTTGTGCTTCCAAATATAAATAGGTAAATAAGCAATCTACCAAAGCAATAATTCACATATTTAAAATTAGATATCAAATTTGAATCGAAAATGATGGCTTAGAAGAATCCTCATGGTTAGAAAAGAAGCCCAAAATCCTAAGCGACTTTGGAGCATAAGCAGCAGTACTAAGGGTCATAGCTGGTGCCATATAATGCCAGGGAAAAGTATACACAAAGACCATTTACTCTTAGTTCAAAGAGGTCACTATCACTCTTGTCTGTCAAATTTCAAATTAAGTGGTTGTAAGAGTGTCATTGATTAGACTAAAAAAAAAAATTATAGAACTTTGTGACACACCCTAAATCATCCAATTTGATATCTAATGGCTAGAAGTAAATGTGACATCCTCATAACAAAGATAAATGGTCTCATCGTATATAATCCCATACCTCAAAACTATACCTATTCAGCAAGAACAAATCCTAAGCTTAATCTAAAACATGAAGCATCAGCCCAAAGTGTCCATTCAACAATTTCAAAACCTAAATCTAAAACAAGAAAAATCAGCTCCCCAATTCATTTCATTACTCCTACTTGTACAAGTTTACCAGCATAATTTGAACTGAACGACTAAAAGGACATTATAGGGTTGGCAGTGAGCGAAAGTGCGGTTAAAAACTTCTTCAAATAAATAGTTATTCGCTCTCTAAAAGCGAATAACTAAATAGGGTAGTAATTTCATGCAATGGTTGTATCATAGTATAATGTAACTATACTTTTAGAAAACTATGTTTGTGGTATTTGTAGGACCCCAAAATTTGCATACACACTCTCTTTATCTCAATAATCAATCTCAAAACAATAAAAGCTCGATTTGAACCATCGATATGGTCAAAATGAGCCCCCTCCAACAACAAATCTAGACCATTCATTTGTTGAATTTCAAGATCTTAGCCTTTACAAACTCAAAATCATTTTTTTTCTTTTTTCACATTGTTCATCTAACGATAATATAGCCATCTAAAAAAAATGAAAAAGAAAAAAAATCTTTCTAAAGCCTATATCTAAGCATCTCACCAAAATAGGCAGCCTATGTTAATTGGGCTAAAAAAACACTTTCTAGGTTGCGTTTTCAAATTTTCCTTTTTTGTGATTGTTCATTAGAATGAAAAGAGTGTATATTTCAAACGAAAAGCAATATATGAAAACAAGAAAGAAGAAACAAACGCAAAAGAAAGAGACAACCAATCACAACGCAAAGATATGCGTCGTTCGGCAACGTGCCTATGTCCACAGGAGATTAGAGCTTCTTTAATGGCAATGGAAAATAGGGTTACAATTTGCTCTCTTCCTCACACCTCTTTGTTTTTATCTAATTACAAAGAAATCTGTGTTTTTTCCTTAACCCTTGATGAACCTCCAATAGCAATAATATATATCAAGTCTCAGATAAATGGTACAAATTATCGAAATACCTTTGTACGGATATATATATTAAGTCCCAGATATATCGAATCCATGTATGGATATAAACGTTTGTATAGAGATGATGCTTTAAACAATCAAAGTAAAGCTCACATTCAAATAATGTCGAGGAATGTGGTTTCAATACTATAAATCTTTGTGATAGCCTTAAAATATATTTTTATCTTTAATTATAAAATTTAAAGCTTAAAAAATAATGTAGATCGAGCACGTCTATGAAAACTTTAAAATTTTGAAAATTGATGGTCCAAAAATGAGTTACAAGATGTACTATTTCCATATCTTGAAATCCATTTTTTTCTCACGTCCATGCATCTTGATGTCAATATGATCAATTTGAGGGTATTTGGGCATCAAAACAACGTTTTCTAGTGAAAATTTTGAGGTGGGCTCTAATTTGATTGTTTAGATCCTCGGCTCTATATAAATATTTTCTTGAAAGTAATTGACTTCTTATTATGGGACATCAGAATACCACTTAGAAATGAGAATGGGGTTGGGTTCATGGTGGTAGCACCACTTGTGCTTCTACTAATGTTTAAGCTTCCATTATCACCTAGAGCATTGAAAAAACCATTAACAATTTTATAAAAACCAATACCTTTTGGGTACATGGAGCCGCAAACATATTCGGGCTTAAATGAAACCAATATATTTTCCGGCCCGGTTCTAGCATTTGAGACTGCATCCGGCCGGAAAGCACGAATTATATAACGAATCTCCAAACGTCTCTCTCTTAACTTGTACCTTCATCCAAAAATACCTACACCTCTTCCCCACTCCCTCTCTCTTAGTCTTAACTAGTGTTTGCAAATTCGACTGATCTAATTCGGAACTGACCGGTCAAATCGGAATTAGGCACGGGCTGATCTGGTTGGCCGGGCTAAATTAGATTTATATAATTTAAAAGAAAATTATATAAATCTCAAAAAATAAGGATTTATTAGTAATGTGTTTTTAAAAGTTTTTTTATCATTTTGGCAAAGATTGAAAATTGTTGGGCCATGAAAACTTATTTTTACATTTCCCATCTTTTCTAAAAAAATTTAAAAATACTTTTGGGCACAAATCAATTTTTAAAAATTTGTTTTTTAACTAATTTTCAAGTTTATTTGGATGTGTTTTGTTTAATTATATTTTAAATATATTTTTTATATTTGCAGTGATCCTATGAGACTCTCTCACATCCATGTGTGTAAGACCGAAAGGATCACTATTAAATTTGACACAGATCTTTAGAAGAGTCAAGCCCCACACCCATGTGATAATTTTTCTAGATATCTATGTTAAATTTAATGGACCGATTAAATTTAGCATAGATATCTAGAAAAATTATTACATGGATGTGAAAGGGTATCATAGGATCATTACTTATATATATATATTTAACATTTTTTGGACCAGTCGGGACTTGCCTTGTAGGGGTAGCAATGGGCTTAGTGACCCAACCCGATCGGCCCAGCCCAAAAAAGCTAGGGCATAGGCCAAGGCACGAGAGGCCTGCCCCGGCCCTAAAACGAGGTCCTTGGCCAAGACATGAGTGGCCCGACCCGACTCTTATTTTATTTTATTTTATTGGTTTTATTTAATTTTATCTAATAAAGCCCGGCCCATATTCAATTCTATGGCCTGTTGAACCGGCAAGTCAACCGATTCAGCAATTACCCGATTTCGAGTCCTGTTTCTTTCTCCTCGCTCTCTCGCACCTCTCATTTCTTTGTCTGGCCTCGCTCACAAAGCCCTCTCTTTCATAAAGCCGTCTCTCCCTCCCCTCTCTTTCTCTCTAGACGCAGATCGACCACCTCTCTCTCTAAAATCAGATTACCAACAAAAAGAGCAAAGCTGCAGATCGACCACCTCTCTCTCTGTAAAATCATATTACCAACGAAAGGTATACATTTTTTGTTTGGTTCCAGAAATTGGGTGTTTTTTAGGGTTTCCTATCTATTTTATGTCTGTTACGATTGTAATTCATGGACAATTGATGGGGTTTGTTTTTTACCCTTTTTTGGATGGTTGATTGTTCTCTGATAAAAAGGTGAAAGATTGTCTTTGGATGATTATGTGAGCTGATTTTCTCAGCTTTATTATTAGTAGGATTCTTAATAAGCTATTTTACCTTTGTCTGCTTTTTTGGGTTTTTGTTTCCATTATCTATATTTTGTTTCAACTTTCAAGTTTTACAATACTTCTTTGGCCATCATTCAATGTCAAGAAGGTTTTACTTTAAAGCATTGAGCTTGTATTGGCATCTAATACTTATCTACTTCAATCAATTTGTTCATATTCCATAGAGCTTTTGTATTTGTGATTTGGTTGCTGCGTTGCATCTAGAAGCCCTCGACGTTTTTATGGAACCAGTGTTTGAGAATTTCTGGAGTAAGTTTTCTTCTTGAAAGGCTAGTATCTCTCTCTTGAAGATCATGTGGTGCTCATTTAGGAAACAATGGCCAGCAATTCAATACATTTTTTGAGATGGTGATGGTGATGATGATGATGGAGAAGTTAGAATTTATGGGAGTTGGACTGAATCGGGGACGGATGCTTCACAAAATCATTTGTGCAGTTGCGAATGGGTTTTCAGAACAAAGGGGGATGGATGAATAAGGAAATAAAGAGCTTAGGCCTACATACATATGGTTCATTTGCATTAAGGTAAGCATCTAATTGAGAACTTGAGATTTGAGCTTTAACAGAGATTCTGAGTATAGGAAATGGTTTTGTGGAGAATTACCATTGGGGTTTAGTATGGTTCAACTGAGGCATGATTGGTGATAGGGGAAGGTTTCCTAGGTTATCAGTGGCATGGAAAGAGAGGAGAATGTATATGTGTTAAAAGTGTTCAGGTTAGGGTGCAGTCATGGGGTGTCATATTGTGAAGATATTAGGTTTTGGGAGTGAATTATCTCATGATAGATTTGGGGGAAGTATTCATTTGTTTTTGGAAGCATTTATTTGTTTTTGAGGAGGTTGCTACTTACTTTTTGTGGGATCTTTGTGGGGAATCCAAGAGTGATTGGTCTTTTCTTTTGTGACAGGAAGAGTATGTGGAACTTTCAAAAAAAAAAAACAGGAAGAGTATGTGGGTTCAACAAGGTATTTAGCAGGTGTCATTTTGAAAGGCTTTCTGCATGAATGATTGGGTGTGTAAATTCCAGTAAGGTACAGGTCGATGCTCTAATTCGTGGAGTAGGTTTTTCCTGGTCCTATCTTTGGCCCTATGTTCTTGGAAGGTGGTCCTATCTTTGGTCCTATGAGGGATTGACTACCTTTTTTCTATGTCAGTTTTGGTGGGGGAGTGGGGTGGGAAGGGGGGGTTTAACTAAGCATGAATCAGGTATCGTTAGAAGGCTATTTGGTGTGTAAATTCCGGTAAGGCAGATGCCAGAGCTCTAATTTGTGGAGTAGGTTTTCCTCAGGTTCTATTTGCCTTAGTTCATTGAAGACAACTCAATGAATAGGCCATCAATGAGGGACTGATTACATGGAGGCTGGTGTATGAATTTTAGGAAATCAAAGTTGACGAAAACCATGGAATGCTCATCACAAAGTTAGTTATCGTGCTAGAGTGATGCCACTTGATATCGTATGTGTTTTGGGTGTCCATGCCATTATTTTGGCTCTTTTTAGTTTTATTTTTATTTTTATTTTTATTTTTTTTGCCATGTACCATTTTGATAATTTTTTTTCCATAAAAATTTATTGTGAAACAAAAGAAATTCATTGTGAACAAATTGAAACTAGAAATATATTAGTTGTCTTATCAATCAATTCATCATGTATCAAAGAGTACAATATAATCATTAAAGATCTAAGAGAAATACTGTAGAGACCCATAAATTATAGTGTCCGAGCTAGTGAGAATGCGAGATCGGGCTAAGGGCCGATTGAAAAGATTGATTTCAATTCTAAACCTTTATTTTATGAATTTTAACTTATATGGGCCACTAAAACTTTGAGGAATCCTTGATTGAGTGGTCGCTTTAATTGTTAACACTTGAAAGTTATATTGATCTATGTTGAAAGCGTGGGCGGTATATGGTGTTTGTTATTTGAAGCTAGTGTTTGAAGTTCAATTTAAGTAAAATTTAAATTACTCACTCTGTTACAATGAGTTCTCCAGAAATCATCTGGGTGGGGGTTTGGAACAGGTGGTAATAATTGCTAGGTTTGGAACTCCGGAGCTATTATATTTTTGGTGGAAATGGTAGTAGTGTCACTTTTTTTTTTTTGGCAATGGATTGCGTTTCAGATCAGCACTTGGGGTTAAGTTTCTAACATTCTGCAATTTGCAACAATTTAGAGGCTAGTGTGAGGGTATATACAAGATAGGTATGATTTGGTGTTTGCACTTCCATTGAAACCTCAAATAAAGTGTTTTGAGCCATAGTTAATGTGATTGGTAGTGAGATTAGATCCTAGATCGGGATCGGGAACTGCGAGTTTGAGAGATGCATGAAGATCCATGGGATAGTGATCGAGATCCATACACCGTAACTTAAAGTGTTCGTGATCCCAATATGAAGGGAGTGCGGTCCAAATTTGTCCAGGATCAAATGATAAAATATATGGGATTGAGATCCATTGAACTCAGAACCGAGGCTCCCCAAGAGCACTTAACTAGGGACTCTAGCTTGGGAATGAAATCCTGTGAACAATTTGATAAATATGTTTTCTGAACTCGAAAACCAAAGTATCATTAAATACAAAGAATCCTACTTTTAAAACATTTTTAATTTTTTGTTATCATTGGAGTGTGTTTCTTCAGTGAGAAGTAAAATTGAAAGCCCAAAGTGAGGATTTAAATTTCAGTCCTCAGGCATGAAAGAAGCTCTTGTGTTTCATGAAAATGCAATGTCTTTGCTTTCCCTCGTTTGGGTCCTTACATGTGATTAGGCATGCAACTGGTCAAATGCTCTCTAGATTCAAAGGGAAAAAAAAAGGTCTAGAAGCAAAGAAAGGTTCAACCTGCAAAGATCTCTGCGGTGGTGGATATGGTCAATAAGAGGGCATTAGAGACAATGAGCAATTGTCTAATCTTATAGAGCTTCCAATAAATGAATGAAATTCATTTAGGGTAGGACATGGCGAAGCTGTAGCTTTGCAACTGGTCACCTTCATCATCTTCGGGTTCCATAACATAATACCGCAACAGCTTGTATGTTTTGGTGTTTATTTTCTTGACTTACAAGTTCAAAGTTCATATTTCAAGCTTCAAACCGTGGTTGCCGTTGTAGGTATTGGAATTGTTTCTCAATTGGTTATCTCTATATTGAAAGCCAATTCAGATTTCAGAATTTTTGGAGAACTATTGTCTGAGAGAGAGAGAGGTAGGGGGGGTGAGAGATTATGGGCTAGTGAGTTAGAGAGTGGATAGGTGGGGAAAGAGGGGTTTGTTCAGTGCATGAGACTCAAAATGTGCTAGTGATCTTCGGTGCCAATGTAAAAGAAACTCAATTCCATGTTGGTGGAGGTTCGATTCCAATTACTCATGGACCTATGATTTGGATGAGAGGATCTGGATCCCATTAACCAGGGAACTAGATCCCCAATTTTGCAGATTGAGATCCCTAAATTCAGAAAATGTCTGAAATCGAGATCCCTTGTCCCAGAGTGGAAGATCGAGCTTCTGGAACTGGAGCGACCACCTTCTTGGGAGATCCTGGTAACTATGTTTCAAGCTCTTTGGATATTTACATTATTAGGAGGGAAATAGATAGCATACTTCAATTATTAAGAAGAAAAAAAAGATACAGAACTTGGGTGTGGAAGAATCGCATCATGTTCAATTCGGGATCATTCTATACGGGCTTGATATTAGGATTCAATCATTCTTCCATAGTTCACTTGGTATGTAACTCCAAATGGTACATGCATTTGTGGGGTTGAGCCTGCAAAATATCTTGACAGTGAATATCACTAAGAGTAAGGGATCCAGATCCCTGTTACTCCAAGTAGCATAAGCTTTGGTGTAGTTGAGCCTGCAATATATCTTGGTGGTGAGGAATCCAGATCCCTAAAATGTGTGCTATTTGACGAGAGGATGCTGAATCTAATAGCCATCTTCTACTCCCAATTGTAGGGTGGCCAGGTTATTTTAGTCTTACATGAGTTGCATGATTTCTCCTGAGGTACGACAATCTCTCCTAGAGGTCTTTCGGCATGCCGGGCTTGCGTTCTGTTGACTCCCAAATGCTTCCTTTTATGGAGAATGAGCTTTCTCCCTATCCTTTGGGGCATGTGGAAGGAACACAATAATTATAATTTCAAAGGGATCAATTTAAGGGAGATGCATAAGGATCAGTGAGTCAATTTCCCTTTCAGAACTATGTTATCAATATGGATATGCATCGGTGTTCGACATAGGCACAAGTGTTAGAAATGCTAATCCCAAAATTTTCTCTTTTTGATGTAATGCATCTGACATCATGGTAAGGAGGGAGGTGGGATTGAAAGTGAGATTGAGCAATGCATGTCCAAGTTCCATAGAGCCAGACTTTACTAGTATTTGGTTGACAGATCTCTGGATGGTTTAGAGGCTCAGCTATTTTCCCTCTCCTTGCCTTGGTTTGAGGTTGAACCTTTTGGCTGCATGGGTATTCGAAGCTCTACTTTGGTTGTTGCTATTGCGGCAATTTGAGGCTATCGATGTTTAAGATGTCCTTTGCTAAAGCGAGATGATGGTGATAAGATCATTAGTTGAGTTCTTTGGGGGGCGGTCCTTTGTCGTCAATGAGCTGCTTTTCTTGCCATCTCTCTGACATTTTAATAATTGGCCATTTATCAAAAGAAAAAGCTTTAAACTACTCTTATTTCTTCTTTCAAGTTGAAGGCGCGCACTTTGGCCTTAAAGGCATGAGGCAAAACTTTGTATGTAACATATCGTCTATGTTTCTTTGTGCCTCTCATCCTCACATTTTGAGGCGTTTGTGATGCTTGTGTTGTGACCTACATCTTGAGACACTCGGAACTCTATTAGCTATTTAATCTCAAATTAAGTTCTTTGAATGAGCTATTCAATAATGGGTCCGGTCTGTATCGTATACTTGTTTATATCTTGTATAGATACTTAGCTATTAACCGGTCCCTCAACCATGTGATGTCAGTAGTGGATGGTTGGGAGTTGTCGTTCCCTCTACTCAAAATCTATTTAGATTTTCAATATATTTGAGCTAAGGAACGAAACCCTAGCCGTCAATTAGATAGCCTTGTAGATATGCACAAGCACCCTCCAATGGTTTGGATTAGGAAGGAAAAAATATCGACGACCACAAATACATTTATTTTTTTATTTTATTTTTTCTACAAATTGGAATAACTTTAAATTATGGGCTTCCACACTTCTCAATCAGGCACACCTAAATAAATAAATAAATAAGATTTACAAAACATAAATGGACCAAAATACCCCTAAAACATTCAGAGGTATTTTGATCAATTTATTTTTTTTGTATCATTTTCTTTGTATTTTTTAGGTGTGCATAAGCATGGTGGACACACCTTCAAAATCTCATGTCAATCCATATGTAGAAAAGAAAAGGAAAAAACTAAAATTCAAAGACTTCATATAATCACAGCAGTCCATTTTCTTCCCTTCTAATCTGAACTGTTGGAGTGTTCTTGTGCATCATTTGAGCATCCATATAATGTGGACGCTATACTAACCCATAGTATATTTTTAATTTATAAGATATTACATTCCCATCTTACAGCCTTTTTTTTCAAATATAAATGGTTCATCTCTCTCTCTCTTTCTCTCTTTCTCTCTCTCTCTCTCACACACACACACATTGGAATTTGGGTGCATAGTGCTAGACTCCCCTATGGTGTAGAATGCATTTGAATTTCCTGAAACTGAATATTTGATAATATTTATAGGCCTCTCCTTTCTGAAGAATTAGGAAGCTGTGAGAGAGAGAGAAAGAGAGAGAGAGAGAGAGAGAGAGAGAGAGAGAGAGAGAGAGTGAGAGTTGTCTGTCCTGCTATTGATTGAATTAATCCTCAGTGCAACTATGTACAACTATGTATATCATGCTTTTCTTTTTCTGGTCAGTAAGTATACATGTCATGTTGCTTTTACTCATGGATATTGTGTTATCATTTCAGGCAGTTTTACCCAAATTGTGTAAACTAATCTCGCCAGCTGCTCTGAGAAGTTTGTTCAAGCACATCTGACAGGTATTTGGAGATTTGAACTTGGGCAGCCAATTCGGAGCTGTTTACTTTTCAGTTGAGTAGGATATTTGCCTTTGTGAATGCAAAACCATTTACTCAAAACAATGGAAACGTGGAAATTCAAACTTTAGCTCTTTAAAGGTTTAATGCTTTTCAAGGTAATTTTAAGTCTTGCTTCAAAACAATTTCGAAAACTTTACTATCACCCACTGCTAACTGCTGGGCAGAGTAGGAAGTCAATTCCACTCTCTTGAGGACCTTTCAACGAATGGGTTTCTCTGGGCTTTCAATGAGGAACATGCATTGTATTTATTTATATCATAGATTCTCTTGCTCCAAAACTATTTTGAAAATTTTTACTTTTGACTCTGCTCAATGCTGGACTTTGAAGTCAATTTCTCTATCAGGAACCATTGAACAAATGGGGGTTTCCAAATGAGGAATATGCACACACACACACCCTGCAATACCATGTCAGTTGATGAGGTCATTTAGTACATTATTCGATGATGGTTAGCTTATATGTAAAGAAACCATTTACACATGTGGAATTCTAAAGCTGCCATCTGAATTTTTATACAGGAATGGGTCTTTGGACCTTGCTTGAAGGCTGTCTACTTCTTGCAAATGCGGTGGCCATACTCAATGAAGATCGGTTTCTTGCACCTCGGGGGTGGACCCCGTCAGAAGTCATGGGTGGCAGGACAAAATCTTTAAAAGCCCAGGTTGTCGGGTTCATATATTCTAGTCGATATTGGAGGTATCCTCTTATACTTGCAAATATCATTACGATGATTCTAATGCTCTTTTGGGGCTAAGACTTCATGTGTCAGTATGAGATGAATATCACATCAGTTTGTTGTGGGGTTTTAGAAATTCATATATTGTAAGAGTTACTGATTTTGTCATCAAACGCACTTGATTTGCTTCCCATAACATTGACTGGTGTGTTTTAATTGCTCCTTCCAGTTGCAAAGTTGAATTGGGATTTTGTTTTAGGGATGAACAAAATACCATCTGAACCCTTGAAAACAAAAAGCTTGTATGCCCCTCATCTGAGCATCTCCTACCCAAATGTTCCCTCGTCCTCTTATTGTAGAATTTCAGATTCCAGGCTTTTAAGTTTCCCTTTTATTACCTCGACATTCCACCACAGGGCATGTGCACACATGTCAACATCTCTAGACAAGGGTAGAATTTATTATAGTAAAATATATCAAGAAGTTCAAGCTTGGATGCGTGAACTGGGGACATGGCGAATAAAAACCTCGTTCTACCACTCCACAAGTTGCTCCTACATGTCTGTGATGGGTAGTTTTATTTGTATATTCATTAATGATATAATTATGTGTGTGTGTGTGATATGGTGTTGTTGAATCAACTGGGTCATCTTTCACATGCATCCCACCTCCAAAATCAATCGTAGAGATGAATTTGGATCCAAAACATGAGCGTTTGATGACCATGACAACCATGAGTCTAAATAAGAAAAATATTAGATTTTAAAATTATAAAGTTATTGCCCCATCTTTTTAATTTTTTTGTTGGAGGGACCTTTTCTGCAATCCTTCTTAAAGATGGATGGTTGCGTCCTTTGATGCATCTATATATATATATAAAAGAAAAGTCTTTCCAATGTTTATAGGCGAAAATAAACAGTGATTTCTTTCATTTTCATCATCGTTCAAAGTTTTTCGCACGGTCACGATTGTCTTGTAGTATTTCAATTTTCATTTTTTTTTATAAATTGGAATAATCTGATATTTGAAGCGTGTGTACAGTGAGACGTACTTATTAAAAATATGAAAAAAAATCTTTTGTATAATATAAATTGATTAAAATACCCTCGTAAATTTTTAAAAGTATTTTGGTCAATTAATATTTTGTAAATTATTTTTTTATATTTTTTTAGATTCTCTTATTTTTTATAAATACACGCTTCAAATTTCAGATCATTCTGATTCGTAAAAAAAAAAAATGAAAATTGAAACACTACCGGACAACTGTGACCGTGCGATGAACTTTGGACGGTGATGAGCATAGGCGAAATCACTGTTCATTTTCGCATATAGGTATATGGAAAATACTATGCAACGCCTATATGCAAAAATGAACAGTGATTTCCCCTATGTTCATCACTGTTCAAAGTTCATCGTTCGGTCGCAGTTGTCTGGTAGTGTTTCATTTTTTTTTTACAAATCAGAATGACTTGAAATTTAGAGTGTGCATTCATCAAAAATAGAGAAATCTTCGATAATTATAAAAAAAATATTTTACATGAAAAGAATCGACCAAAATACCTTCGAAAAGTTTTGAGGGTATTTTGGTCAATTTATTTTTTGTGAATAATTTTTTTTTATATTTTTATTAGATGTGTTTCAGTAAGATGTATATATCTTTCAAATTTCAGGTCATTTTGATTTGTAGAAAAATAAAACACTATCAAACAATCGTGATCGCGCAATGAAATTTGGACGGTGATGAGGGTAGGTAAAATCACTATTCAATTTCGTCTATAGACGTTGGAAAGACTTTTCTTATATATATCCCTTCGATCAAGTCAAGAAGTATGGGTAGGCTCCGTATAAGAGACAAGTCTTGATTGGATTGAAGGGACTGCCTGGGGGCTAGACGTTGGAAAGACTTTTCTTATATATATCCCTTCGGTCAAGTCAAGAAGTATAAGTAGGCTCTGTATAAGAGACAAGTCTTGATTGGATCGAAGGGA